TGTGCCGAGGGGACATGGCCTAAAGTTGTCCTCAGCATGAAAGCAAACAAAAGCTCAGGCCATACTCTTTGGTCCCTTGGCATTGCCGCTGGGGCTTCTTCTCGTCTCTCTAAAGCTGATTGTTGCCTTTGCTTAAGGACAAGGAGGAAGGAATGTGTGGACCAGGGCATCTCTTCAGCTGAAGAAAGTCTTATGGAGAGGATAAATAACCCAGAGAATAATCAAGATTAGAGAACACAAAAGAAGAGGCTTTGTGGGAAAGAAGCGCTTGCTTTACAAGAGATTAGGAAGAGACCTGGCAGTGGGTCTGAGCAGAGGGAGCATTAAATGCAGGTGTCCTTACCACATGACACACATGAGCTCATGAACACTACAATGTTACATACAGCCAATCAGAATTCCCCTAAAGGATCCTGACGGTGTCCAGCTCATCTCTGGGTTCCTGAAGCCCTGTCTCCTCTGAAACGCTTTTCCTGCAGGTAGCAGTCACATTCACAGAGGAGCTTTTGTGGACCAACCTCCAGGAAGACCATAATGGGGACACATAGGACACTGCTCATTGGAGACAACTCAGATGTTTCCTTCATCTCCCTGTCACCCCACCCTCCAGAGCCCCCTCACCTGTTCTGTATGGAGATTTTACACTACAGTAGATTCCTAGGTGATCACAGTGTTCAAATGTGTGTGTTACCACATCTTCCTACAGACCCTTAAACAAGGACTTCTCTTAGGGGAAGGAGGGATGGCTTAGGGGAGAAAGGCACTTGCCACAGTCTTGTCTGTGAGTTGGTTCCTGGATCCCACAATTCAAAAGAGATAATTCACTCCCAAAAGTTGTCCATGACCTCCACCTTACATACTGTTACATGCATGTGCACACACACACACACACACACACATGTTCATACACAGAGACACACAAACACACACAAAAAAACATTTAAATCAAAACAAAACTAAGTATTTTTTGCTTGTTTGTGCTTGAGGAAAGGCTTCACTATGCAGCCTTGACTGATCTGGGGCTCTCTATGTAGACTAGGCTGATCTCAAAGTCATAGAGATCCACCTGCCTCTGCATATGGCACCATACTTGGCTCTCAAATATATTTTATTTTAAACGGGAGATGGTTCAGTCTATAAGGTGGTTGCCTTATAAGCATGAGGGCCCTCAAAACTGATGGAGGAAGGACATTGGCTAATTATAATAAAGAAACTGCCTTGGACCATTTTATTGGTTAGAACGTAGGTGGGTGGAATAAACAGAAGAGAATGCTGGGAGAAAGAAGCTGAGTCAAGGAGTCACCATGATTCTCCCATGCCAGACAGATGCAGGTTAAGATCCTCCCTGGTAAGCCACCTCATGGGCTACACAGAATATTAGAAATGGGTTAGATTAATATGTAAGAGCTAGCCAATAAGAAACTGGCACTAGCTGGGCTAGGCAGTGTTTAAAATAATACAGTTTCCATGTAATTATTTCGGGCATAAGCTAGCCATGCGGGCAGCCAGGTGCCAGGAACGCAGCCCCGCCACTCCTATCTCAACAGAGTGGCGTCCATCGTGGGGATAAATCCACTTAAAAACCTGAGAAGGCTTAAAAATAAGGGAGAGAGAGTTTAACACAGATTTTTGCTGTTTGTTGGTGGCGTGCTGTAGACAGAGATTCCTGATTCAGCAACAGCAGCAGAAAAAAAGCTGCGTCATTTTAAAACGCAGCTTCTTGGGGCTGTGCTACCAGCGTGAACTCTGGCTTTAAAGCATTTCAAGGGCTTTTATGGGACTGGATGTTTGTGTTCCCACTTGGGATCGGAGGAGAGTGCTCTGAGACCATGCAGATGGCTCAGCGCTCCCTGCCTGCACCTGGGCAGATGGCGGAATCAGGCTTAGGCAGGCGGAAAAGCATGGCAGATTCCTGCCGTCATACATGTTTTCAGACTGCGCAGTGCTCTGCGTGTCAGATTTGGCTGTAACTTGGATAAAAAAGAGTTTCTGTGCTGCACACTCAGTCTCAGATTTAAACTGCTGATTGCGGCTCCAATGTGGACTGCTATGTGCCTGGAACTGTGAGTGGTTCTGGGGCACCAAATGGCTCTGAGGCAGGAGTGGCTCAGCTCTGCCCTGCCATGCTGAACTGTGCTGACCTCAGACAGGAACTACCGTAAATGCCATAGTAACAGCGCAGTTAAGGTTTAGACTGGGCAGGACACAGGTGGTACTGTATTACCTGTATATGGTGCAACTTAAGTTTTTAAGAACTGCTTAACATTTTAAAAAATACTCCTGGATAGTAAAAAAAAAATGTTACAGATTCACAATAAAACAAATTCAGACATAAAAGACCTTTATGGATCACATTGTTGGATAAATGTACGTAGGCTTGGGAAAGAGAAGAAAAAAATATAAAAAATAAAGTTAATGTCTTAAAAAAAAAAGGTAAAGTCTTTAAAGAGACAGAGTACAAAAGTACAAATAGTTATAGATTAAGAAAAATAAAGAAAAATAAGCCACATAAAAATGAAAAATACACAGAGAGTCTGGATTATGTACATTGTGTTTTCTTTAAAATTTTTGACTATGAAGGAGCTAAGTACAGAGAGACGTTTCATTATATGGGCTGCCAAGTGGAACCAAAATGGATATAAGGGTATTACGATTTCAAAATTTGGGTCTAAGGATATGATGCTTTGGAAAAGTCCTTCTATTGTTTTCACAGAGGATGAGACTCTATGGATTTCTTCTATTCCAATTTGGTATGACAGACCACGCCCTCCTGAAAGGTTGCTGTAAACACCCTCAAAAAATTGCTTCACTCAATTGCCAACTGAGATGAAACTAGCACACAGGTTATATCATGAACGACCTAATTAACGATGCCCCTATTCAGCAGGAAGCAGTTTGGAGAGAAAAAACTACGCCCATGTTCCCAAATATTGTTTATAAATGTTCTTTTTACACTTAAAGGGGGATATGATATAGATATGAATAATTTGCATTGGTATGGATTTTAAGGTCAATTTTGTTATATGTATATGTATTTTTGATCTTGATTAAGATATTGTGATTGTGTAGTTCATTTTAAAATGTAATGTATAATTAGGAAATATAGGTTGCTAATGGATAATCATCCATGATAGTAAAGCTTGTAGTCATGTTAGTTAGATTTTCTAGATATATAGCGATATATTTCAGTTAGATAGGCATTCTTCATATCTTTCAAAGACTGCAGAATATGGCATTTTAAATGTTTTAATAACTTAGGACTTTTCATGACAATGAGACACTCTGCTCCTGGCAGCACCAATCTACTTCAAGAGGAAGATGGGCATTGAAGAGGATCCTTATGGAGTTTGATAGCCATTTGGGCAAGAAACTGTTCTTGCCTGGACTGTTGCATAAACTAGACACAGAGAACCCTCAGAGAGAGGACTACTGAACTTGCCTAAAAGTGAGATGGTCTTTCGGGGTTCCTGATTCATGAAAGAGTCTGCGAGACATTCTGCAGGACACAACAGAAAATGACTGAACTGTCTTTGAAATTTCCTGCTTCATGGAAATGTCTCTGGATACCATGGGCCTGTAGGCCAAAGATGGATGCCCCAATGGTACAGAGGAACTTTGGGTGACTGTCCAGGCAGCGAGATGTCTCTGTCATTTCTAGAGTTTTGGACTTCCTGTTTACTTAGGTATTATTATATCCTTCTGGAGTCTTTGATGGAGTTGAAGAATGAATATAGTTTTCCTTAGTTATGATAAGAGATAAAATAGATATAAATATTGTAACTGTAATTCTGGCTTGATAACTGTTTTGTTATATGTAATTTTGCTATGTTAAGTTAAAGCCTTCTTTTTTGTTTAAACAGAAAAAGGGGAAATGATGGAGGAAGGACATTGGTTAATTATAATAAAGAAACTGCCTTGGACCATTTTATTGGATAGAACATAGGTGGGTGGAATAAACAGAAAAGAATGGTGGGAGAAAGAAGCTGAATCAGGGAGTCGCCATGATTCTCCCACACCAGACAGATGCAGGTTAAGATCCTCCCTGGTAAGCCACCTCATGGGCTACACAGAATATTAGAAATGGGTTAGATTAATATGTAAGAGCTAGCCAATAAGAAACTGGCACTAGCCGGGCCAGGCAGTGTTTAAAATAATACAGTTTCCATGTAATTATTTCGGGCATAAGCTAGCCATGCAGGCGGCCAGGTGCCAGGAACGCAGCCCCGCCGCTCCTATCTCAACACAAAACCAATGCAAAAACAGGACACATGTTGTTGGAGCTGCAGGCTGCGTCCCGCTGTGTTGGGTGGGAGAATCATGGCAACTGCCTGACTCGGCTTCTTTCTCCCAGCATTCTGTTCTGTCTACTCCGCCTACCTAATTTTCTGTCCTATCAAGCCAAGCAGTTTTCTTTATGAAAGCAACAGATAAGATACAAGACCCACCTCCATCAGACATAGTTGAGGAAATTTGTAATTCCAGTGCTACGGCCTGAAAACTGGTGGATTCCAGGGACACACAGGCCTGCCAATCCAGACTAATTCATGAGCCTAAGGTCCCATGAGTGACACTGTCACGCAAAAGTAAGGTTTATGGTTCCCAAGAAATGACACCCTAGAATGACCTCTGTCATCTGTTCACTCATTCATGGATATACACCAAACTTATGAGCAGTAAGCCGACAGATGGACAGACAAAATGTAACAAGTTGAAGGGCACATAAAATATTTTTAAAGTCAGTATGAATGGCTGCAGAATATAGTACGGAGTAGAGCTCTTACCTAGCAGGGGCTGAGTCCGGGATCCATCCCTAGAACCCACAAAACAATCCAAACAAAGCAGGGTGGAGTGCCATTATTTAGTAACACCATTATGGCAGCTGGTGAATGAGAGTCCCCTAACAAGAAATAAACAATTGTGTTTTAAGTTAGCCTAACACATCCAGATGATAAATTGTGCTCAAATCTAAAACATGATCTGGAACAGTACAAATCTTCTTGTTAAACAGAAAAGGTCCTTCTGTGGACCACTCTGTAGAGAGCCCCTTTCAGGTCGCTGTTCCGCAGGCTGTAGATGAACGGGTTCAGCATGGGGGTCACCACTGTGTACAGCACGGTGGCTGCCGTGTCCTTCTCAGATGAATGTGCAGATGCAGGGTTGAAATACACGGCGATGATGGTGCCATAGAAGAGACAGACCACAGCCAGGTGGGAGCCACACGTGGAGAAGGCTTTCCATCTTCCCCTTGGGGATGAGACTCTCAGGACAGCAGATGTGATGTGGATGTAGGAGATCAGGATGCAGACAAAAGGGGTGACCTTGACAACAGCTCCCTCTGTGAGGATCATCAGCTCATTGAGGTGTGTGTCAGAGCAGGACAGTTTCAGGAGGGGAGTAATGTCACAGAAAAAGTGTGGGATGGAATTGTCCCCACAGAATGAGAGCTGAGCAATGAGCAGGGTGTGTAATATTACATTCAGATTGGCAGTGACCCACGATCCGGTCACCATCATGACACAGATTTTTTGGGTCATCTTTGTTGTGTAGTGTAAAGGGTGGCAGATGGCCACAAAACGGTCATAGGCCATCACAGCCAGCAGGAAATTTTCCATGTTTTCAAACATGTAAAGAAAATACATCTGTGTAAGACACCCAGAGAATGAAATGGCCTGATTCCCAAGTATGTGTTTGGCCAGCACCTTGGGTACTGTGGTGGAGGAGAAGCAGACATCCACGAAGGACAGGTTGCTGAGGAAGAAGTACATGGGGGTGTGCAGGCGGGAGTCTGTGCCGATGGCCAGGATGATGAGCAGGTTCCCCAGGACAGTGGCCAGGTACATGGTGAGGAAGAGCAGGAAGAGGAGCCGCTGCTGCTGGGGATCCCTGGAGAGTCCCAGGAGGAGGAACTCAGAGACACTCGACTGGTTGCTGTCTCCCATTGGACTATGAACAGGAAAGATGATTAAATCCTCAAGCTTGGGAATCCTGCTCAAGACTGGAGAACTAAAACAACAGAGAAAGAGGACAGAGGTTTTGGCAAAGCACGAACATTGTGTTCCCTCCCGTAGCTTTGCCCCTTCATTGGCACAGTGCGCAGGCTGTGAATGGATTGTGTGTGGTGTCTAAGGAAGGATGATGAACTGTGTCTGACAGTGAGTTTCTGCTCAGTTATGTGTGATGCTTGAACTTTCTGCCATTGTTTTCCTTTTGGATCTTTGAGACAGGGTCTCTCTGTGTTGACAAGAGCGACCTTGAACTTAGTATCTTCCTGCCCCTGCTTCCTGGGTTCATGGGTGACATGATTACAATGCCTGTCCAGCTAATGTTTTTAAAAGCATAATTTTAAAATTGTTTTTATTTCATGTGCATTGGTGTTTTGCCTGCATGGATGTCTGTGTGAGGGTTTCCAATACCCAAGTACTGGAGTTAAAGACAGGTAAGACTTACCCTATGGGTGCTGGGCTAATGGATGAACAGTCAGTGCTCTTAACCACTGAGCCATCTTTCCAGTTCCATAATAAAATAAAAGTGTGATTTATAAAAATCACAGACATATCCTGGAGGTGCTGGTACCCACTTTTAATCCCAACAATTGTAAGGAAAAGTCAGGAGATCTCTGAGTTCAAGGCCAGCTTGATCTATAGAGCAAGATCAAGGACAGCATCCGTGGTTACACAAAGAAACACTCTCTCAATAACTAAAAACAAATTACAAACATAAGAATTCTAGCAGAGTTAGGAAGGAGGATGTAGTAGGAGAAGCCTTGAATCTCAGTGTTCAGAAGGTGGAGGCAGGAAGATCAAGAGTTTAAGGTCTTGAGCTACACAGCCAGCCTGAGGATAGCATGCAATTTCGTTTAGATGTTTCTCAATGGATTCATGGACAAAAAAAATTTTTGTGTCTGTGTGTGTGTGTGTATTTTCGTGTGTGCAATATGTGTGGGGTGGTGCTTTATTTAAAAATACGAATGTTAGATAATTTGAAGAAGAATGATGGAAATTATATTAATGTGATGAGTGAAACACGCCAGACCCAGGAAAACAAAAACACTACGTTTCTTTTTGGTTTTTTGCTTGCTTGTTGTTTTTGGTTTCTGGGGGTTTTCTGATTCTTTTTGGTTTTGAGATTTGATTTCTCTGTGTAGCTCTGGTTATCAAGGAACCTGCATTGTAGACCAGGGTGGCCTCAAACTCATGGAGATCAACCTGGCTCTGCTTCCCGATTGCCTTCTACTGCCTGACTACATTTCTTATCAAATGAGGAATATTAATTAATAAAGAAACATGCTCCAGATTGGTTGCAACATCTGTAATCCCACTAATCTAAAGGAGGAGGCTGGAGGATCTCTGTGAGCTTAAGGCCAACTTCATACATAGAGAGTATCTCCATAGAGAGTCTCAGCATCTGGAGGGATGGCTCAGAATTAAAGGCAAGGCTCACAACCAAAAATGTAAGAGTCTCAGGAAAGCCAAGATAGAGAGAGACAGTATCTGTTTTTCTATTTTAATTAAATAACATTATTTTTGTAATTAATACATAATAATAATAAAACCATTAAAGTAGAAGGGAACCTACTTCCAGGGACAAGAAAACCAGAGGGGAAGCCAAAAGACAGTAAAGGATGAGATGATTTGCATGAGATCACATATTTTACATATGTGTACAACTGCCATGATGAAACCATCATTATGTACAATTAATCAATATTGACAAAAAGATATAAAACCACCAAAGCACTCATACACACACAGATGCTCGAACCCACGAGTATTTAACACCCAGTATTATTGACGTCATCACCATGATTAACAATGAGGCTTAGAGGAAACATGGGTTCTCCATCCTCTCCAATGTGAACAAATCACAAATCCCTGTTTATTTGTGGACCAAATTTGGCCTCATCTAAAGCCACCCCAGGACTGATAATCACAGTGTGCTGTTCTCTAGACTCAAACAGAGCTCACCTCTGAGCTCTAGACCACGACTTCTTGGCTAGGGGCCCTGAGCTGAACTTGTGGAACTAAGGATGAGTCAGAGGGATGGACAGACACTTGGCCAACCTGGACTCCCCACAGCCAGGACGCCAGAACTGACAAGACAGGCGCTGGTTGTTACGGGTGATCATAAAGAATGGTCTGTGAGCTCAGAACTGCTTATGTGGCTCCACTTAAGAGAAAGGGGGGTCCCTAGAAGGTTTCACCACCAGTATGCAACATAAAGTCCGACTGACCTGACTCTGGGAGCAGATGGCAGTCGGCGATGTCACCAGAAGTGCTGGGCTTGCTTCACACTCTTCACTTGGCCAGAAGTTGTCGTTCTGAGGGAGGAGAAATGTCATGGTGTTGTTGGGCTGTATGCAGGATGCTCTGGAGCCTGGGCTCAGCCGTCAGGAGCAGAAGGACATCTGGGGATCCACAGGGCAAGCTCTTCAGAGGAACTTCCATGGCCACGAGGGCCATGGTCCCTGAGAGCCTCATTAGAGACAAGCAGACAGCAATTTGTCCTTTCTCCTTCTGGGGCTCTTTGGGGTCCAACACTGATAATAAAGACTGTCACCTGGGTCTCTTCCTCGGATCTTAAACAACACTGAAAATGGTGGAATATTGAGGGTAACTACAGGCTACACCCTTCGGCTATAGAAAACGTCAGATTCCAGTATATTCTCCTCCACACACACAGTTCCAGTTGATGTCACTGTTGAGAATGTGAAGTCATGTAAGAATCAAGAGACTGACTTCAAGAGCCTGTGAGATGTCTCAGTTATAGGCACGAACCGGCGAGTGTGATGACCTCAGCTGATCCCCCACAACCCACACGGTGCAACTGGCTCTAGCAGGCTGTTCTCTGACATCCACAAGTGCTCTATAGGTCCTAGTGTGCAACACGTGCACACACACACACACACACAAACTGTGTTGGTTTGAGTGACAATTATTCCTATTGGCCCATGTTTGAATATGTAGTTCCTAGTTGGTGAACAGTTTGGGGAAAGATTAGGAGGTGTGGTCTTTGAAGGAAGTGTGTCACACGTGTGTCACACTAGGTTCAGTCCCTCTGCCTCCAGTGTATGGATCAGATGTAAGCTCTCAGCGGCGGCTCCAGTGCCATGCCTCCCATCCGCTGCCAGACTACCCACCATGATGGTCATGGACTGGACCTCAGACATCATAAACAACCTCCCAATTAAATACTTTCTTTTATAAGTTGTCTTAGTCATGGTGTTTCCACATAGCAATAGAAAAGAAACTAAGACACACACAATGTAATTTTTAAAATTGATCCCAGCACCTGGAAGTCAGAGGCAGGCAGATTTCTGTGAGCTCCAGACCAGATTGTTCTACATAGTGAGTTCAGGCCAACCAGAAATACATAGTGAGACCCTGTCTTCAAAAGAATACAAAGAAAATAAAATAGAAAGCTAATAAGCTTGAATTTCACAGAGCTGTGCACACTTCCTATTCCACTGCTCTCTGTTGTCTGACTTTGGGAAGCATCTGACCTTCTTCCTCTGAGTCCCAAACCCTCATCCTCTGCTTAGTGAGGAAGTAAGTTAGACACATGACTAATTGAAACAGTTGGTATGAAATGTCTCATGACTCTTGACCTTGTCAGAGCACTTGTCCTTCACGCAGAGCCTATGTAGTAAGTCATATTCCATCCTTCACTCTGCTTAGTCATCTGTAACCGGGTAGATATCACCTAGAGATCATGCCCCATGCACAAGCAATTCATATGCCATCAATCAGTTTGATAAGGGGTTAAGCGGCAAGTCATACGGTTTTTCCATTTTAGAGAAAATGAGAAATATAAGCCATTAACAAACTGGGAAAATGGGGATTCTAATAAACAAAATTCTTTAGACCCATAGGTAACTTTTTTTAAGAATCTTTGTCAGGACCGGAGAGATGGCTCAGGAATTAAGAACTCTTTCTGCTCTCTCCCCAGGTTCAAATCTTAGCATCCACGGGTGTCTCACAACCATCCATAAATCTAATTCCAGGGATTCCAATGCTTCTTCTTGCTCTGCAGACACTAAGCATGCATGTGGTCCACAGTCATGTGGCAGGAAGTCCACTCATACACTTACGGATTGTTTTTAAGTTTTTTTTTAAAGGAAGCTTTCTGTATAAGCCAGACATGGTGGAAAATTCTGTAAGCTCAATACTTGGGAGGTAAAGGAAGGAGTATCAAGTATTCAAAGCCAGCCTCAGCCATGTAGAGGAGCCAGATACAGTCACAGCAAGATATAGTCACAGGAGACTTTGTCTACACAGACAAACACACAAAATACACACACGCGATGATGAATTCTGTGGCATTCTGAACTCTATAGAAAAGTCCAGATCTCAAAACAAAATAGAATGAACTCCATGATTTTTATATAGTAACCACCATTGATGAGCACAGCCATTTTGGGTTCAAAAGCAATGACTTCTAGCCTCTCCTCTTCACTGGCCTGCATGTCACCTGTCTCTCATACTCACACTTATGTTCCTCCTGGGTCTCAGCAGCCTGAGTCGGCCTCTAGGGAGTAGGCTCTACTGGGAAGCATCAGCAGGCAGAATGTCACACCCACAGCACATCTTCCCTTGTAGTTCTTGTGGCCAAACACAAGGTCAGAAAGGAAACTGTTTCTCAAAAGCCACAACAGATGTGGAGCATTGTTACACAGAGCAGTGAAGCAGAGAGGCCTATGTGTCAGTTTATTGTGAAAACTAACAGCAGCAGTTCTTTGGAGCAATTTCAGACTAGATCTAGAAAGTTGGCTCAGCTGATAAAGGCAAGGCTCACAACCAAATATGAGAGAAATCACGGACCTGCATAGCAATGTTTACACTGAGGAATTATCTTGGGACAGGAATTTTCAGTAAAGTGGCCTCAATCATGATGTACCTGGGGCTGGAAAAAGCTCTTAATCTTTCCGTGTTTGCCTTCTGAG